ATTGAATTTCAATTCAAATTCTACCAGAGTAAACATATATTCTATATTCCCTTCACAAAATTCCGCTCTCGCAAAGTTTCTAACTTGAGTGAACTAATTTACGAAAAAAAAAAAAATATCGTTACGACCAAGAGTTCCCGGGTTTAAGGGTTTTTTTTTCCTGAGGAGTAAGAAATCGTTTTCTTCAGAGCACCGTAAATACAAGCTGAAAAGGTAGTTACCGTAATGTCCCATAAAAAATATCCCCAATTCATTGAACGGAATCGACCACTAACGTTGACCAATTTACCCCTCAACTTAAAAAAAAAAAAAGAAAAAAATCCACATTCTCATCAATCCTGGAAAAAAAATCTACAGGTGGCTTTTGGCAGCTGCAATGGGGCATCGATTTCCTGCAATCAAAGAGACCGGGAATAATTGCTGGGAACAATTTTTTGCCCCCTCTAGGCAGTCGCGACCTTTTTCCGTAAAAGTTAGGAATCCTATCCGATTCATTTCACCTCTTTAACTCCACTTTTTCGCCGTTGCGATGGCGATTTAAAACCCAGATTAAAAGTGAGCTTTTTTTTTTCTTATTATCAAACATAATTGGATATTACCGATTGCTATTGACTCAACGTAATGATCATCTCTGCATATTTAATCGTTAGTCCGGAGAATTGTTGGATCTGATGAAAACGAGAGAAAATAGAGGGATATCAGGGAGTAAAGTCACTGTTGTATATCCCTATCTGGTGTGATTTGTCATAGAGCAATTCTCGTTCGTCTCTCGATTTTCCACTCGTTTTCCTCCAACTCCTCTCCTACCCATCCCCTCTCAACCACCAATTTCCCTCGTCGGCAGAAGCTACTGAAGGGGAGGATCAGCTGTAGTCTGCCACATCGCGTGACAAGTTATTTGTTCCAATTGGTTTTGCACGCCGGCAAATTTCTCAATACGTCTTTCAGATTTTCCCCATTTTATGATCAGACAAGTGCATCTAAGTTATTTATTCTTCATTTTATTCTCGATTCAATGCTATATGATTTTTTAATCCTATTCTATTTATTTTTATTGTCAAAAATAATTGGCTAATTATTGGATTAATCCATCATTTTTCAATTAGTGACAGAAAAAGTGACGCTGAATTTTCTTGTAAAGAAAATATCGAGAGTAATTTTGTGTGGGTGAAAGTTTGATGGGTGGGACGGAAGAAATTTAATTCCCTCTATCGTAGAAGACACTCGATTCTCGTTAAGTGGAAGAAAAAGTGGAAAAAGGGGTGGACGCATGAAATAAAGGTAGTTGAATGAACGAGGATGGTTGTTATACACGTGAACGAAGTATTACAATGCTGCGCGTGCAGAGAGACTGTCGCGTCGTTAGACGACCGGAACGACGGGTCATTAGAGGAGTTAATGTGGTGCATGAATTTTGATCACCGGCGCCGCGGCTCCGCACCATGTTGGATTTTAGATGACATATTAAACACCAGATCGTCATAATAGCTGTTATTTTTTTCATCAACACCCTGCCATAATCTCGAGAAATTTCCATTAGGCAACTAAAAAATCGCGGTCTTTTGATTTTTTTTTTCCCTGAAATTTCACCAATTAATAAATAACTCCGTTCACCCCGATTTTGATGAATCAATTTGTTCATGAAAGACTAAATTATTGAAATCGCATGAATATCGGGAGCTTCAAGACTTTGTACAACTGATATACAATTCCCTAGACTCAATTTTAATATAAAAAAAAATGGTATTCTGCAGCGTGAATCCATTTCGTATCGGTATAAATTTCGAATAGCCTCAAAACATTTTGCTGCATACCTCATTCTGTCAAAAGCTATTGAACTACCTCTCCGTCTCCACATAAACGGATTTACATCGGTGACTGTATCGCGTGACATTTATGCATATCTGTCTTTCAATTTTTATTCATCTGCACGGGATAGGAGTGGCATAACGATACACCAGTCCAGGATGTAGAGCCAACGAATTCACGCTCAGGTTCACGAATTTGAATAATTCTATGTACATACACCAAACATGACCCGGGTTTACTTGTATAGAGATTGAGCTTGATGATAGTCGTACTGAGAGAGATTTTGCAGAATGAATTTGGTTTTCATGTCATACTTTACAACGGGGAAAATATTAGTAGTATTCAACGTCGTTCCCATGAAAACTCAAATGAGCAATTATTTTAATTATCGCGATGCCGTGAAATTTCAACCGATAAATGCCAAGATGTATTTCAACTGTTGAGAATATTTCGAATTAACCGCAAACAAATTTTTCGGCACAGCCCGAATGATCCCGAGTGTGGAAAACGATCATATCCCAAGAGTCTCCAATTCACTTATTAGCGACGACAATAACTCGATAATCCCGATGTCCTCAGCCAATTATCGACAGAAACCCATGAACAACCATTTGCCTATTCCTGCGTCAGACACGTGCCCTTTAATTATCACCCAATTTTCATCCACCTATCAATTCCCCCTTCTAATCGAGTAAAATTAAGATAAATATCCACCAAAACGAACCGCAAATTTCCACTTTATCTCCTGATTTCATAATCCAAATACCACCCGTATAACCTGAAAATGTAGCCTTTGAGAACGAGAAATCGAGGGAATAACCGGTGAAATAATTTATTAGATTTACGATTCTGTTTCACCAGCGATAATCAAATTTAAATGAGTCACGCTGGGAATACATGGTAGAACAATGGCGCTCATTCGGTAATATGAATGAGGTTAAATACGAAAATTGTTGAAATTAACGTGGCCAACCGGTATATGTACGTATGTCCACAAAGTGTGCATACAACCCACCCAGTACTTGTAATCAAGTTGAGTTTCTCGATCCGAAATAACTATCCCCCAGAATATTTGCCATCCGCTCATATCTCGTTTCACATTTCTACTAATTAATACTCCCGAATGTTGAATTATTTAAGCTACTTGCATTCTGAAAATAAATTCATCGATACCGATCGTACCCATCAATGACGATTCAAGTACAAAGTGCCAAGAGTATAAAGTACTCTGACAATAAATATTGAGATCAATGGATAAAATACTTGATAGCATTTTATTTTTGTTGAAATTTTTTATTGACCCGACAAAGTTTAATCACTCCATTATCCATTTGACGAGCTAGATTATGCCCATCTCAGTTGAAAAGGAGAATTCCCGGTGGAGTTGGATTGTTGAGCCGATGTTACCAACTTCGAATTACGAGTTTGCCAACAACAATAAAGTATGAACACAACTGCCTTTGCTGAGGTGGCACAACAGAAGCTTGCCACCCATACAGAGTGAATTTACAGCGCAATGTACTTCGGATTTACTAGGTAAAGTGTCGTAAGACGCCTGCTTAGCGGCCCTCTTTCAATTTGCAAGACGTGAAACTTTTTTTTTCACACCCCCTTCAACCCCTCCATTTTGCCCATTTCATTAACAGGGTTACTCTGAAAATTGGAAATTCACTGGGAATTTTTATAATGTCTCTATCGACTTTGTACGGTACAAAAACGAAATACGCCGCAAGCAGCTACTTTTAAATGTGAATTCTCCTACAGCAATATACCAGAACAGAATAGAAGAAGAGATTCATATTTATTTTGGAGGAATAAATTAATTCGGCAGAACAATGATTTTTTTTCCTCCATGCAGTGAAATTGAGCTCGAAAAAAAAGAGGATGAATAATTAAAATGCAGGAACACTACATGCATGAATTACAAGTTTTGTCAAGTAATTTGTGTCAGAAAACATTCCCATTCGGACCAATCCCACTGTTATCAAATATTCATACAGATCGATGAAGAGACTCTGTACAATTGCGTTAGCTGTTGGTGGACGTCAAATCAGTCGTCAAATTGCAAAAGCAATATTCAAATTCATCGTGTGTTGACAAACGGATTTACATATTTGGTACGTCACGAGATCGATCGATTAACCGAACAATTGGTGGTAGAGTGGGAGAATCGCTGAGTTTCGATGGGCCAAATGCTTTGTTCACTCTCAGCGCTGTGAACCCGAAGCCCTGATTTTTTTTAACCCCCTCCCAGAGCACGAAATATCCATCGGAATGTCCAATGTGATCATGCAGCCCTCTTGAAATGCATGGCAATCGAGCTATCAAATAACTTTGAATAATTGATAGGAAAAATCGAGGTCTGTCGAATCCATTGAAAAAAAAAAATGTCAAACAAGATAGATTTTTAACTTTATGATAAAAATTTACAATAAAACCAGGGAGACCTTCAGAAATTGATAGGGCCTAAGGAAGATATCAAAAGAGAATCGTCTAGAATGCGCGCCCGTGTTGAAACCCAGCGTTGAAAAGGGAAATATTGTCTATAAAATTGCAGTATAACCACAGAAGTTGATAAGTTTTTCATATAAACGCAGGAAACGTTATGCATGGAAATAACCGTTGTCTCAATCTCCAATATAGATGTGTACGACAAAGTTATATCATAATGCTGATGCATTCAGTACTCTCCACTAGAAAGAATCGATTCTGCATCACTACACGTTTAAAATCATGAATTTCGATTATGTTTCAATAGATACAAAATAAAACCCCTCATTCACAGAATAAATGTCTCCTTTTCTTCTCTGTGATTAAATTTATAGATACTCATAGAAATATTGATCATGAGATATTGTACATGAAGTACGGCTAACGTTAACTGACGGCTGAGGAAATACATCGTATTATAAAATCGATGGCATAAACACTCGAGTTTGATTGAGGATCTCCACACGTCACCATAACTAATCATAAATACGAGATTTCCGTCGTCGTTGGACAGTTGTTGAGTCTCGACTGTTGATTCAGTAATTACTCTAGACAAGTACCGGAAAACAGCAACCACTAAGAGCATCATCTAGTTTTATATAAAAGGAGAGTCCATCAGATTTGACCAGTTCCTCATCGGCACTCATCAAGACGATTACTACCATCATTTTGCCCAAGAAAACCCCTAGTTTGAAAAAAAATTCTTGATTGATTGATTGACTGACACATTATCATACTACTCCAATGTAAAAATATGATGAACAACCGGAAGTGTCTGATAAAATCGAAGTGATTGTGAAAAATCAATACTATCTTTCCCTCGAGATAAAATTCGAATCGGTCCCTGAGACTCAGCCAATTCGCTGTCAATTGGCGTCGACAGCACTTCCAATTGTCATTTAATAAAAAATAATGAAGTTTGCCATATTGATGCTGTGTCTGACCATTGTGCACTCTTCATTCTTGTCAAATGACATAGCAAAGATGAAGTACTACAGATCATTGATTGATCACCTTCACAGAGAGAACTACGCTAAAGGAGTTTTAATAATATCAAATGTAGATTATAACTGTAAGTACAGTGAATTAAACAACAGCTAAATCAATCTAAGTCTTCCAAATTGTTGAATTGTTTCATCAACATGAATTGCAGGTTTTGACGAGATGACCTTCTGGCACGAGACATCGAGAAAAATGTCCAATCGGGGAATTGCAACGGACATCGTGAACTTCAAAGTCTTAAAGCAAAATTTACCCTTCTATACTAATCAAATTAGACACATACTGTTTGTCATTATTATCCAGAACATGGATGAAGTGAATCTTTTCGCTGAAATCAACTTCAATTCGAATTGGAGCGAGAGCCCATGGGTGATACTGTTCTCAGGAAACAATAACCAAGATGTTTGTGAATTTTGTCGTGAACCGCATAGAAACGTGTTCAATTTGAAATTCAATTCAGATATTGTTGTTGTCTGTTGTAACTCGACTGATATCAATGAATGGTGGTCGGCCACTGGTGATTATACTCAGGTACGAAAATTGGCCCAGTGCATTGATGAGGAACGAGGGATCGAGTGGTTTCCGAAAAAGTCCCTATATGAACGCAGAACCTCTCTGGAAGGTCGACCACTCCGAATTGGAATAGTCAAAGTAAATGATGAAATAGAACCTTAAATGCTCGATACTGATCATTCGATCCGACAATTGATCAATTTCCTAGCAAGAATCCTCTTATGAACGCCGAACCTCTCTATATAAACGAATTTTTTGCAGCGATCCACTGACATTTGGATAGATCAGGGTGATTTTAATGGATATTTGGGAAAAGTTTTGAAAGCCCTGTCCCAGCTGATGAACTTCACGATATCAACTGTGATAAGTGAACACTCCTACGGAACCTGGGATCCTGAATTATCAGAATGGACGGGTGCTCTGGGAAGACTCCAGCGAAATGAAGTTGACATGGTTGTTTCATCATTCATAATGACTGCAGACCGTTTCCGTGTGGCCGATTTTACCATTCCCACTGTCTACGAGAACTCACGATTGTACTTTAAAAAACCTGGAGTGACAACCGTACAATGGAATGCCTACTTCAAGGTATCCAACAACTCTTTCTGCCGTAACACAATTCAGATAAACTTTTCAAATCAGATGTTTCATCGGCAGGCATTCAGCACAGATGTCTGGCTTGTGATAATTGCTCTGATTCTCATAGTGCCTCTCCTCCTGACTATCATCCAATCTACTGAAAGATTATGTTTTTTTCCGCTAGTCTTCGAGCATTATCTATCTGTCTGGGGTATTTACTGCCAGCAAGGACTGCCAGGTAAGAGAGAAAAGCCTGAGTGATAGGTTAATATTAACTGGAAGAAACGTTTTTGATAGAACTACCCGAAAAAACACCCTTGAGAATAGTCTATACATCAGCATTTCTATCTGCTCTGATTATCACCATGGCGTATTCCGCGTCCCTAACGAGTTTCCTCGCTGTCTCTCTATCACCTTTGCCGTTTAAGACAATGGATGAATTTGCCAAGCTGGGAACTTACGAATTAATAGCCATCATTGACAGCGCCGATTACGTTTGGTTAAAGGTACATTGATGAACCGAGAAGAGCCAGAATTAGTTGAATTGTTGAAATTTCCTTTCTCAATCACATTTGACAGTTATTTTGCAGGAGTACCGTGGAAAACAAGTGGAAAAATTAGTGAAAAAACTCATAAAGCCACGAGAATTACACCCTCAGAGTATCCCTGAAGGATTCCTACAGGTCTGAATAATCAATAATCATGCTCAACGATTGTGGAGTAATTGATTTGAATTTATATCAATAGATTTGTAAAGAGAAAGTGGCATTTCACACCACGTACGAGTACCGAGAGGGTTACAATATTCCTTACATTCCCTGTGAAATCGCATTCGTCAAGACTCGAAAGGTTCAAGCATCAGGGGTACTGATGCCCCATCGGAGCGAGTTCACAGCCTACGTAAATCACTGGTGAGTGAGTGGAATAGAATATCCAAGAGTAAATGATCGAAATGATTTTTTTTTTCAAGTATTCAACGATTGAAGTACAGCGGACTGCTTGATCGATGGAAAAAAGAGTTTATACGCCGAACAAACAAACTACCGGAGATTTATCATCCATCAGTGCCGCTGGATGGTGTCACACCGGTTTTGGGTATTTTGACTGCTGGAGTCCTAATCGCGATTATTGTTTTATCGATCGAACGAATTGTTCATCGCAGCCGATTACGACATAAACAAATAAATATCCTACATGCGAAACCGTTACAACGTATCTCCTAGATTCTCGGGATATTCATCAAATCTCAGTAATTTCAAAATGCAATTGATTAATGCTCGACTTTAGATTAAACACAATAAAAAACATCAATACTTCTCAATTTACTCAAATCGAAAAATTTTTTATAATTCTCAGTAAATCAATAATTATTAATCATCATTGTAAACGAATAATATAAATTAAATGTGTGACAACGCCATTTGTTCAACATAAAAATTATTATTTTTCTTTCCCCAGATCTGGTAAAAAAAAAATATATTTCCAATTTGAACAAATATTTCCCACATTATTTTATATCTGCATTTATTTTGCCCGCAAAAGTGCCTTCCAAAAATTAATCATTGCATCGGAAAACAAGTTGATGTTTAGTATTGTGACACTGTCGAGGGAAATTGCGATAAACAATGTGTTTCACATTGAAGCATAACATCGAGCGTATGCAGGAGTGGTTATCGATATCAGTAACGCACAGTGGAAGGATTAAAATACACGGCTGGAGTCTCTGTTAAGGTTCGCTCGTCTGGATACAGATACCTAATTTCTGGTACATCATTCGCCAGCCTGATATCATGTTCACCGATATCATCCCGATTCTATTATCCGCCAGTGTTGAAGTATATCATCTTCAGTATTTCCAATTTTCAAACCAAATGATCAAATCAATCAAATCAATCAAAGCAATCAAATCAATCAAATCAATCAAAGCAATCAAATCAATCAAATCAATCAAATCATCTTCATTACGCCTGGAATTTTAGATAATTCCGTTATTGTTCAATATATGGACAGACAGCATTATCAGTATGACTATTGCCTGTACGTAATATTATGCGACCCAGGTGACAAAATGTAAATAATTATATATGTCAATTAACAGGTAATCATGATAATCAGTGAGATAAATACCCCCATATTTAACTACCAATAAACTATTGACATGATTTATCCCTTCAACTCTGGCACCTACTATAATTAGAAATACGCCTCACACTGGCTGCATCATCTTAAATTGAAAATAATCCACCTAAATAACGTGTCAATTTGATAAGCAACTCTTGCATTTCTTGATTTATCCGATAGATTTCGATTCTACATTCTCTATCTGCCTGCAATTGCTACAGTAGTCACGTACATCGTCATGCCAGCTGCCAAGAATCTACCCATCACTGAGATTGAACGAGTCCAAATAAATCTCTATCCCAACAACACGTCCAAAATTCAGTGTTAATAAAGAATTCCCCAATTAGCCCTTTCCTCTAACTAATTCATAACTAAACTTGACGGACTATCAGTTTGTGTTCCGACGCTAACTAATTTTTCCATCATTAGTAGTCCAATCAGGGTTCAAACAGACAATGATCTCTCAAAATTATTTTTGATTTTTGAAAATTAGGATAAATCATAGGAAGTTCTGAGTGAGATAACAAGAGCGTTATTTGAAAAGTTCCTGATTATCGTAATCAGCTCTACTTAATTCACTGCAATTATGAAATAAAAAAAAAAACGTTTAAAGAAAAAACGCCACGTGGTAACCGCGAGTTTAAAAGGGCTAGCGCGATTACGACAAGACCAAAGACGTCATCTCCAAAGAATCCCTATTTATCAGGCCTATCACTGTATTTGTTGTCCTCATTCATTATGCAACAAGAGTATAGAAAGTACGATGAATAATGGGGTACAGGGAGAAGTGTTATGAGCCCAGTGAGAGCATACAGCTCGAATTCTCAATGCGGCATGGCCCCAGTGAGACACCGTTCGCGTGGAATCTTATTGAAAGACGAGATAGGGACGCCAGACTTTTCCTTTCCACGCTTGCTTGAGCCCACCTCACCCTATCCTCTAGTACACACACACCTCAGGGCTCTTATTTCTCTTCTCGTCGCCTACACCTTCTTCTCTACACCCCTTTTCCCACCCCACCCGTTTCCTTTCTTTTCAATCTCTTTACTCTTTTTTCCACCAACGCCTGCTACTTATTTCACATTTTCTTTATTTTTTTCTTTTATTTTTTTTTACCACCCCCTTCCCGCCCTTCTTTTCCTCCACTGCAATTTTTTTTCCCACCCTTTTTTTTCCCATTCTTTCCCTTTTTCTTCAGCAAACCTTACCAACTTCGTGTGACACCGCATCAAAGATTTACCGCGTGAAAATATCGGGCTTTCCGGGGGGGGGGGTACATTGCTGGTACACGATTTACGCTACATATATTTCTCCCTGTCAATATTGTTTCAGTCGAGTGAAGAAGAACGAGAGTGGAGAGAATCAGGCAAAAATTCTATTCTTAAGTTGAAAAAAAAAAAAATTGTCATCGAAAAATAAGACTAAATTGTCAAAGGAATTTCAATTCAATAGAAAATATTTGAGAACAAAAAATTATCTGAATCAAACCGAAATACATTACTTATAAGAAATATAAATTGAGGTAAACCGATTGCCGAGTTTGCTCTGAATTTTTTTTTTCCACGATAACCGCTTTTTGCGATACATACCAACTGTTTGCTGAGAGATGCAAATTGAAAAATGCTGGCTACGTCGAAAATTTATTAATCGAATCGGCCATTCAATTCACCAGCGAACAGTGCGGATAGAGTGGAATGGGTCGAACTCATGTGCCGAAGGGTACATGTTGACCCAGTGAACTCTACCCCCTCCCCTTCCTCTAACCCGAAGCAAAATGATCAAATAGAAAAAAATATAAATGGAAGACAGACCGGTAAAACACTCCTAACATTTATGTATTTATAAATTGGCTTCGATTCAACTAAAGAGTTATCAACAAAAATTTATATCATTCAACTGGCTTCTGATAATTCAATACTATCACTTATTTCGCCCTACAATTTTTACGAAACATTTTTTTTTTTTTTTCAACGTGTGAAATTGTAATAAAGGACAACCGAAGTGAATCACTACTGGTGCATGGTGAAACCACACTTGAAACTTTTCAAATCCACTTCTCCTCATTCGACATGCCGTGTACACGGTAGTTTGAGCTTGTTAGTGAGAGGCTCCATTCGGAACTATGGTACATGAGATACAGCGAAATACTACAGTGAGTCTAGTTCAAGGGGTAAAACGGAGTAGTTATTTGGTAACCACAGAAGAACTTTCACCTATGTGGAGAAAGTTTGCAGCATTGGGTGTTGTTCAACAGATGAAATTTGGAATAAATATGAAGGAGTAAATGAACAGAGTAAAAAACTGATGCAATCACACGAAAAGAAAAATGACGTTTTGAACTATAAATTCGCGAGCCAAGGGATGTTCAATTAATAAATGAGAGTTGAAACCGAAATTGCGTTAAACGTTTGCTTTGTTAAATTCCCTGGACAGTCGGTTGTCCTCTATTAATCTTTCAAACGAATGTGTACAAAAGTCAACAGGTGTTAATTCAAATAAATAAATTAAAGAGGATTAGGAATAACACTGTAAAGATGTCACGAGACATACGAGTATATATCCCTTATATTAAATCCCTTATATTAAATGAGCAAGGGTTTTTTCATTTGCTTTCGACTTCAGTTAATCCATTTTCGATCAGTACTCAATTATTGCTCAATATTCAATTTTTATCTTGAGGATAAATCAGAGAATTGCAAAATAGACGATTTTATATTTGGAAGGTTAAAAATATAGCGAAAAAAATTAGGAAATATCTTCAGTTAATTTTCATTACTAAATGGATATGCTAATTATTTTTTTTTACGGTATTCAATGACGAAAAAGTTGATTCATACCAACTCAAATAAAAAATTCAATAAATATTCCATAATTCTGATGGTGTTGTGGTATTACAACTGAATATTTCTCTCTCCCTAATCAACTTGTGATAACTCCAACCTAATCTAATGACTGAATTCCGACCGGAAGGGACTTCGTCACCCTTAGGCAACAGCCAGTTCTCCGCAGTCGATAGATCTTCCCCTGGAATAGTTGTTATCTCTCCGAGATATGTTGACACACAAATCCAACCTCCGGGCCATCTACCAAGACGTACGCAGTGTATTCACGAGGCATATGTCGACAATACCGATCAATATGATTCCCTCAGCACCGGTGAAGAGGCACCGGGGCGAAACCAAGGGAAACATCGGACGTATGACGTACAAACATGATAGACGAGGGAATTGCTCGACTTGGCGACGCCATCGACCAAATACACGAACGCAAATTGTCCAATCCAACTTCTACCCACTGCAGACCAATCCAAACGACATATTCCATTTATATCTGGATAATTATTCAATGATAATCATAATGATATTCTGGATAATTATAAAAACTGAAAAAACCGAGTACAATTGAAATATCGTAAGAGGAAAAACAGGCTGATAAGAATCAAATAAAAGACCAAATGGTTGAGATTCGCAATTGAGATAAGAAATCTCAAACCAGTGAAAGACTAACGATTACTTCATCACGTATGAATATTCGATGATAATGCGACGCAGTATTGCAAGTTATCTGTGACAGAATGCAACCCCTCGAGAAATTAAATGTCCCGCATAACAGGATATGATGCTGCACATGAGAAAAATGAAGCCATTCTGTGGGCCATAACCGACGCAGGCATCTCCTCAGAGAGAACCAGACGATAAGACTGGAGGATGCAGGGTACGTTATGATGAATGGTAAGGTATATCACGAGAAGCGTCCAGGGTAGTTTATCCTGGAGCATCTCGATTTCACGTAGAGAGAGGATATAAGGAGAATGCCAGGCCCTGAGCGTTAGAATTGGTCGTAAGATGAACAAGAAAGCGCCCATAGGATATGGCCTTCTATTTATACGGCTTCTTCATCGTCACGTTTGAGGGAATGGCTTCCGCCTGACACAATGCATCTCACATTGTCCCATAAATAACCAGATTTTCTTTTTTTTTATTAGCAAAATTGCACGGCGAGCCGTTTAGTAACTCGTAAAAAAAAAAACACCACCTCATATTTTTTGTCACCGTTTTTTAATGACACTGCTTACATGCCAAAATTTAACACGTAATTGCAGGTGTTTCTCTCATGCTGTGGATATGTAATTTTTTGGGCGTTTATTTTTTTTTTTTACGAGTTTGAGAATTTTATTACCGTGAGAGCCGAATGTGTGGGAAGGGAATCGTTGGTTGATAGAATAATTG